ACTAATTGAAGGAACAGAAATGCAGAGGAGGAACAAATCAACAGTAAGCTACAGAAGAATAAGCACATATTGTTACATGCAATAAAACAATTTTTACATTATCTTTTTGTCTTTTCAGAATGCCCATCCTAATACAAAACTGCCCATCCTAATACAAAACTGCCCTTATGGTTATAGCGATTCCGGTATTCCCTTTACTGTTCAGTTACATTCCGGACTCGGTTCCGTGGAGTTGGTAGTTGTGTCTACTTTGTTGTCGTCCTTTAATTCCATTTTGTTTGAGTTTTAGGATGTGTTGGGCATGTTTCGAGCAGGTGGGTTGAGCCTTGGTTTAATTTCTTGTTGTCAGGTTTTTAGTCTTTTTGCTCGAGCGGATCTTCTTGCGCTCGAGCGGATATTGCACACTCCCAGTATTTTCGTGCTTTGCAAAACTTCTGCAGGTGTGATTTCTACGCTTGAGCGGATTTCCTCTGCTCGAGCGGGTAGTGCTCGAGCGGGTAGTACATTTTTGGTGTGAGTTCTGGCAGGGGGAAATCTACGTCCGAGCGGACTGGTTTTCGCGCTCGAGCGGATGTACTTTATTCTTGTGTTTGGCGCTCGAGCGGGCCTTCTTGCGCTCGAGAGTGTCTAGATTTTTGTGCGTAACGCTCGAGCGTCCTGTTATCCGCTCGAGCGGACCTGTCGTATATCAGAAGGTAGTTGGGCATTTTCAAGTCACTTTTTCACATCTCTTCTCTCTCTTACTTTTCCAAAAACTCCATTGTAGAGCCTCTCTCTCTGGAACCTTGCCTTATCTCTAGGTATTGATCTAGTAGGAGTTGTCTCCTCACCTTTGGCCTTTACAAAAAAGTTGTTGATCGTCGAGGGCTATCTTTTGATCCAAGAATCTCGAGATTTGGAGCATTTCCGTTTTCTTCATCTTCTTCGTTGGGTGTCAACTTTTGAGGTAGGGATTCCTACTCACTCTTATGGTCTTTGACATAGATTTTTAGTTGTTTTGATAAAGTGTTGAAGTTGGGTAATTTTGGGACTTAGGGTTTCAAAATGTTAAAAGAGGGTTTTGTTATTTTGATTCTAAAATGTGTATTGTGGATTTCAAAATAATGATATTGTCGTTGGTTGTTGATATATGGACCATTGGGTCAATATTGGGAAATGGGGTAGAAAACCCTAATTAGTTGTATAAATTAATTAGTATGATTAATTTGGGAAAATTGTGGTTATATGAAATTGAGTTGGAAATAATGAAATTGACTCATTATATAGTAGAATAGTGGAGTTGGATTTATTAATCGCTCACTTTTGAAAACATTGATATTTTATCTGTTGGAGCTTTTATTATCTGTTTAGAAATAATTGCTTGGGCTACCCGTGGAGGGTAGTTTTGATTGTTGTAGACAATGCATGATAATTAGGCAAACTAAAACTAATCAATTGGATATGTCATAGAGTATGACGGTTGATAGAATACATTAACGTTATGTATTGATTGATTGTGTATATGACCTATGTGTATATACGTTGTGTGTGTGGGAGAAGATAGGAGATGTACTCCACGGTTTAGGGGAAGATAAGGGATGGACCCCTAAACCGGATGTTGTTTGGGAGGAGATAGGGGATGGACTCCATTAGCACCATTTTTATGTGTGCTTATTATATTGAAGTGTTTCTACATGATTATTGATACAGCACTAAAATGTGTATCAAATGGGAAGTATGAAGTGTTTTGATATGAGCATGAGTCTCATTTGTTTTGTTGATATTGGAAGTAATGTGAATATGATATATAATTCACTGTTGTAAGTTTGGCCAGG